GTTGTATATTAAAAATTTTTTTTTATATTATTTATTTTCTACTTTTTAGTCCTGTCTGAATAAAATTTTGCAATAGATATTAAAATAATTCAACGATATTAATAGAAAGGTGCACACACATGCATTTACATATGTATGTACATACAAACGAGCACCAATTAATTTTATTTAAAGAAATGGCGTGTCGTCTATTTCCGCTGTAGCAAACGTAGTACATAGGGCGACATCTAGATGTCATCTACCTCGCCCTATTCACTACAAATGTCGCCCCATGCACTATGCTTTTTTATAGGAACTTTTCAAAGCAAAGCTTTATGGTGTCGGACACATAACATTGAAAGTTTCTGGATCCACAACATTGAAAGTTTCTGGACACACAACATTGCAAGTTGATAAAAGCGGTGTAAAATAGCACGGCGTATGTATGCATGAGAACAGGAAATTGGAGAGTGGAAGCTTTCATTTACAAAAAGTGAGTTTTTTCGTAATTCTGTCTGAATATTTGGTTCCCAAATACTCTCATGACATTCAACTTTCATTTCTTATTTAAATTCAAAAGTGATTACTTCCAAATTATACAATTTTTGCAGTTATCTAAATTTCCCGCCAATTTCACTTTTTTCAATATATGATTTTGTACATATATGTATGTATGTATGTATATATGTAGTAATATTACCAATTTATTCTCACAAAACCTTTTTTGGTATTAGTATACTTTTTTAGCTCTTTTGTGCTCATGTACATAATACGTACGTACATACATATGTGCAATACATAAATAACTAGATAATTGCTCATAAATAGCATACGAGAACGTACATACTTCCAATTTATTCCAGTCTCTCATTTCTTTGGTTCGCACATACATATTAACTTACATACTAAGGTCTTGCACTCGACATTGGATGATCTTCAAATTTGATCAGGTAGCAAAATATATGAAAGTGCGCAAGCATATGCATATGTGTGTTTATGTGTATTTACAATATTGAATATAAGTACATATTACATATGTACATTTGTTCAATTTTTTATGTGCCATTTCGGCTTCGTTGACCTAATACCAAACTGACCTACCTCAATAGTCTCAGTACATGCATTTATTAAATTTTGCCTTTACATACATTGCCTGCATTTATCATACACATATACGTGTACATACATACGTATTGGATCCTTGTGTCTACAACAATTGCAGAAAATTAAAATAAAATATTTAATCTCGTGCGCATAATTAAGCAAATAAATTAAATACTTATATTTATTGGTGAAATTACTTAATTTGTGCCGCGGAATACTGCCATTTTCTAGGAACCGTTATTCAAATTTATTTTTGATTATTGAGCTTGTAAGTTCGTAGTTCGTTGCGGAAAAAACAGAGATGAAAATGTCAGCTTTGAATTTATTCACTAGCTGTTCGGATCAAGTCGTTGAATTGAATGTGAACTTCGACGCAACTACTCTTAGCGAACACTGCAACGTCTCATTGGAGATCATGAACGAGGAGCTCACCGAGCTGTGGGGCAAAGCTAAAGCTGCATTTGAGCAATGTTTGCAGTCATTAAAAGCAGAAGATGAGGTAGAGGCAGTAAAAGCCAAGTATTCGGCCACTTTCAAAGACTATCCCTCTTGTAAAAGTTGTATTACAGAGTGCATGCGAAAATTCAGTGGCCCTTCACTTTCACCTCCACCATATCCTTCCCAAGCGGCCATTTCTGCAAATAATTTGCAACTACCACCTTGCGATACGGAAGTTTTTAGGGGCGATTATTCATCTCGGCCAACATTTCGCGATCTTTTCACCGCAATATACGTTAATAACACGCGTTTAAGTAATGTAGAGAAATTATTTCACTTGCTTCGAAAAACAAGTGGGGAAGCCAAAGAAATAGTTAGCAAATCTCCGCTAACCAATCAAGGTTTTGATTTGGCATGGGCCAATCTCAAAGCCACCTTTGAAAATAAATGGTCAACTTAAGTTGTTGTTTGCTTTACCAGTCATTTGGACTGAGCGCGCATCGGCATTAAAAAATATCCAAAGGAGCATCAATGGGTGTTTAGCAGCATTAGCAATGTATGACATAGACGTATCCTACTGGGATCCGATTATTGTGTTTTTGTGCTCGAATCGACTTCCGGAAAACACCCTAAGTCTATGGCAGCAAACTCTTGTGGATAAAGCTGCCATTCCACTTTGGAGCCAAATGGATACCTTCCTTACACAGCGCTTCCGGACTTTGGAATCAATCACGGATGTTAGATGTCCATCGTCACCTTCAACGTCAACATATGCATTCCAACAACAACGGACAGCGCAACAACATCAGAACCCATCGGGCAGAAGAAATTTTCACACGCTACCAACATATCGTCTGCAACACAATGCATTTTATGCCCAAAGCAACAACATGTTTTGCGACTTTGCAAAAAATGTATAAGCCTTTCTGTTAGTGATCGATATGCCACAATCAAAAAAACATAGCTGCTGCCTCAATTGCCTTTCAAGAGGCCATTCGGTAAAGGAGTGTAAAAGTAATTTTTCATGCACAACGTGCAATAGTAGGCATCACACTTTACTTCATAAAGTGAATGCAAATCCTTCAGTTGATAGTCAAGTGTCAAAAACTGGGGCTTCATCGCAAGCCTTCCATACTAATATACAGTCCACTACATCTTATAGAGACGCAACATCGGGTGATGAGTTGTTGAAAGAATCCCTAAATGTAGGCTCAGCACTCCTCGGAACGGCCATAGTTCACATTTGCCACTTAGGTTCTACATACAATGCTCGGGCTTTAATTGATTCTGCATCGGAAGCAACGTTTATTTCGGAACGAGTGCGCAATCTTTTAAAGTTACCTTTTTCGAAGACCAGTGCAACCATATCGGGATTAAATAAGAAGGTGTCTTCGTGTTCATCCAAATTATGCACATTCTTGTTAGGTTCTCCGCGTGATCCGAATTTATTCATTGAAGCTACCGCGTTTGTGTTACCACAGATTACCGCTAGCTTACCGTCCACTTCTTTGCACAGATCCGTACTTGACCAATTGCCTAAGGTACCCTTAGCGGATCCTAACTTCTTACAAAGCGGTCCAATCGATCTTTTAATTGAGGGTGATTTGTAACCCAAAGTTATGATGGAGGGTGTGAAGCGGAGTCTTCATAATAACCTTTTATCCCAAGAAACCGTGTTCGGGTGGATTGTCACTGGGGCAACCTCCACTGCACACGTTTCTTGCTTTGCTACCAAAGTCTCAATGGGGGAGGATAGTTCCATAAGTAACCAACTTCAAAAGTTCTGGGAATTAGAAGAGATCCCAAAGCGACATATACAAAGCAAAGAAGACACGTTTTGTGAGGAGTTGTTCGTAAAAACGACTACAAGGAATTCGGAAGGGAGATATGTTGTAGTACTACCCTTTAAAAATGAATATCCAAAGGATATAAAATTAGGATCTTCACGTCATATTGCCCTACGGCAATTTGCACGCAATGAAATTAGATTACTTAAAAATATTTCCTTCAAGAATGATTATGACAACGTCATTAAAGAATACTTAGAGTTAGACCATATGGAAAGGGTAGATGAACCTCAGTTTCAGCATGCTCCATCCCACTTCTATCTGCCGCATCACGCGGTCCTAAAGCCCGAAAGCACTTCAACGTAATGGTGTATGTCTTAACGACATATTACATACTGGGCCAGTTCTCCAAGCAGACTTAACGCTGCTACTTACACGATGGAGGACATACAAGTTCGTTTTTAATAGCGATATTCAAAAAATGTATCGCCAAATTTTGGTTCATGCTAGCCAAAGGCCTTATCAAAGCATTTTATTTCGTAGTAACACCGATAATGATATAGTAGATTATCAATTGAAGACGGTAACCTTCGGAGTTAACTGCGCTCCATATCTTGCTATTAGGACCCTTTTTCAGCTAGCCCAAGATTCTCAGGCCTCACATCCCCTTGCGGCTAGAATCCTGCAAAACTCGATGTACGTTGATGACGTTTTAGCGGGCTTTCACGTTGTTCCAACTGCGCTACAAGCACGAGATGAGTTGATAGACACTCTAGGTAGCGCAGGCTTTTCGTTGCGAAAGTGGACTTCAAACTCAAAGGAGATATTAGTAAATCTTCCAAGTGATCACATTGATGAAACCAGCAACACAAAAGCGCTTGGTATAAGGTGGAATGCTCGTTTGGATCATTTTTATTTTGTTATTCAGCCATTACTGGCTAAAGACACCTACAGAAAACGCGAAGTGTTATCAATTATAGTCAAGCTTTTTGATCGAGCCGGTTGGCTAGCGCCTATAGTGGTGGTAGCGAAAATAATTATGCAGCAGATTTGGATAGATAACACTCCTTGGGATAAATCGTTAACTCCACAAACGCTTCGCAAATGAAAGACTTTTGTTGAAAATTATCGTTTTATAAGCTTTGTTAAAATTCCACGATGGGTAGAGTATACTGGTGAAACCCCAAATTCATGCCTTTTGCGATGCGTTGGAAAAGGCATACGCGGGGGTGATCTATTTGCGGGGTGAAAATAAAGGGATGGTTGCATCACATTTGCTGTTATCTAAAACAAAAGTGGCACCAATAAAAACTATTTCGCTTCCTCGGTTAGAGTTATGCGGAGCACTTTTAGCTGCCGACATGCTGAAGACCCTTTTGAAAGAACTTCCAGTCAAGGTCGAGAGTATATTTTGTTGGACTGATTCCACTATTGTGATCTCATGGTTAAAAAAACCACCCTGTACTTGGACAACTTTTGTAGCTAATCATGTTGCAAAGATCCAGGAAATCATCGGACACCAGCACTGGCACCACGTGGAATCCAGGGATAATCCAGCAGATTTAGGTAGCCGCGGAATATATCCGCAAGAT